AGACTCACTATTTTTCATTAGATTTAACAAATCAATTATTCATTAGATTAACAAATAGTCACAGACCCCTCACCCAATAAACATACTGGGTGCCAGGATGTCTGCGAACGACACAAGGCCCCCAGGCAACCACGATACCTTTTGCTAGACCAGATACAATTTACGACCCCCCCAGTATTTCCAACCTCCCGCTTGGAATTTCAGCCTTTCTCATTGGACAAGCTCATCCTGAGAGGCGTGAATCTTGTCAGGCCTTAAAGGCCTCACATCAGTGACCCTCCTTCAGTCTGCGATTCTGAGAAGATGGGGATGTGAACTAGAACGCTCCTAAGGACACCCTAGGTCTGCGCCAGGCCTCAGGCCTTGACTATCCATTCACCAAGATCATCTGACTCAAACTGGTTCTTTTTCATCAACCAACTTCAGCAAAGATCAACTTGAGCCTTCAGATTGCATCAGGACTCTCTGTCAGACAGACAAGACGTGCAAGTATTAAACTTAGTCTTATTAATTGATACATTAAGTATCATTTGCACCTTTTTACAAAGGTGTGTTTGAACTAAGAAACTGATGTTTCCTTCAGCTGTAGATCTGCTGCATATCCAATGCTCCCATAGCTTCATGTTTTATTTCTCTTCTCTTTACTGCCTAAACTGTAATCCTGTTCCTTATAATTAATTATAACTAGTTATGAGTAATTATTCATATTTCCCCTTTGAGCTGATTCGCTACAGTATATTCAACAATATAGTGGTGAAATAAAATGCTGAATAATTTTTTAATCTTTTGTGGTTGATGAAACGATGTGTCTGAGCTCATGAAAAATATGTTAATTGTATTAATTTAAAAGAAGTCTTAAAGGGGTCATATGATGCTGCTAAAAAGAACATTATTTTGTGTATTTATATTCAACAATATATTGTTGAAATAAAATGTTGAATCACTTTTTAATCTTTTGTGGTTGATGAAACGATGTGTCTGAGCTCATGAAAAATTAATTGTTAATTGTATTATTATTTTAAACGAAGCAGTCTTGATTCCAAGTGCTCCAAGGATATTTCAAGATAAAATATTTTCAAAGATCCTTGTGCTGCATTCTATATTCACACACATTTCCCAAAAATTGTGTTAAATACTTCATTTAATCGAGCAACTTCAAGGAATAATGTATATGAACAAAGAGAAGCCAAGAACACAAAGAGCTCGCTAACATTACAGCAGTACTGTTTGCTTTATGCAAAGGCAGCATGGCTTTTCTTGACAAAGAACATGGAAAACTGACACTCACACATAAGTCACACACGACATTACAATACGAATTGTGATGTTAAAATTAAACCACGGTTTAGAACAGCGCTAACAAATCACAGAAAGATAAAAACACAACACTTTTCATAGTGCTACAACAAGGTTCAAGCTCATTTTTGTTTAGTCTGGTTTCAGAGTCGGCCTACTACAGTGAAAATCTTTGATTTATACAGTACGTCTCTTCACAATAGATTAAAGAGGTGTTAAACATGTAGAACAGTAACAAACAATATTCAGCAAACTAGAGTCCAAAACTCTAATGTAACTGTAAGCTTGTTTCACATTCTGTAGATTATTTCAGCAATGAAATCTCAGTTCACTTGCATTTTCTGGCTAACATCTGAAATGTGGACTGATGCTAAACCGATTTTTCAGTCCTTTAGGTTTGGTGAAATATATGTTATAAAATTCAAAATGATAAACTATATAAAATGTTCTTAAAAATATATACATCAGGCTTGACAACTTTGTAAACACAACAAATAATAATTAAGCTAAATACATGTTAAGATATTTAGTAAAAAATAAAGATATACTACAACATTTCAGGGGTCTGTGCTGTTGAGGACAGTAACTTCATGTCACATTGTTTTAATAAAAGTAGATCATGAAGACAATAATGACAACACGCAGTTGCAGTCGTGCGTGTTTCCCGGATCAAACTTTTTGGTCAGATGAATACCTACTGTAAAACGTGTCTAAAATGGTCGAAAAGATGCAAGTTCAATGAATTAATTACATGTCATTTGTGATTTATTTACTGGAGGGATGTTTAGAGACGCAGACAAAGGAAATAGTGTCTGTGGCATCCTTGGCTTTTAATGTCTATCTTTAAGTGTAATAGATGGGTTTGTATTAAGTGAAACAGTCATAACAGAAAATGGCAAGACCCGTTTTTAAGATGAGGTAGGGGCTATGATGTGTCTTTGTGACACAGGTTGACATGATCATAGACGGGTCGGAAAAGACAACCTTAAAAGGATATCACACTTTTAGTTTTAAACACTCATCTAGAAGGAATATTCTTTTATTTTTTATGCTGTAGTTGTTCATAAATTCCTATGAACATACACTGCATGCTTGACCACAATCAGAAAGAACTCATCACCTGAAAGCTATGCAAAAACAGAATGCAAACAGTTCGATTATCTATACAAGGAGAGGTTTTCTCTTATGTGCTCATTATAGCTAAAATTCTCTTTGGCCAAATGCCGTACACAATTTTGCATTTCGTAATTCAGTGATTTTTAGTCAATTTGTTTTGCGCAAAGATAATTCCTATGTAAATATTATATTAGATTTTTTTCCTATAACATTTACAAAAGTGTGGAACATCATAGTTCTCAAATGTGTTTGCATTACATCTAACAAATATGACTGAAGTTGAGAAACAAAGATGTTTAGCATATGTACACCATAGATGTTGCTTTATTTG